AAAGGGCATGTGAAAATGGTCATTTTTTTGTGTGTATGTGGGCATGTACGCGTGAGCGTGTGTTGGGTGGTGCTGCTGAGCTTGATTAGTCATGTTAAAAAATATTTGTGGAATTTTTTTTTAGTTTACAAAGTTGAATTCAAAATTTAAATAAATAAAAAAATTGAAGTTGTTTGGTTATTAAGAGACGAAACATTATTAGAAATATTTATGTTTAATGATGAGATCAAAATATAATTGGAAGATGCTTTTTGGAAAATGTTTTTTTTCTTTACTGAACAAATTTGAATTCAAAATTTAAATTGAGTTTAAATTGGGTTCTGTTAACCAAAAAAATTGGTTTAGTTTTACTATTAAAATGTAATCTTTTCACAAGGAGAGATAAAAGAGATAATGGGATGGTGTGATTTGTTTAAAGACTGAAAAAGCGCACCTCAGTGACAAAGATAACATATTTTTATTTTCGGATAACTAATCGGACTTGTCTTTATATTTTCATCATCAAATTTTTAGAAACAAATTTGATAAGTTACATTTTAACTTATTAGTTTTATAGTCAATTATATTTTGATCTCAGTATTAATTATATCATATGTGCTTTTAGGTACGGACATACATTAGTATTTAATATTGAAAGAAAAGTGGGTTCAATTAGGTCAAAAATGTAGAGTTCATTATATTTTTTCTAAATCTTAAAGACAGGCAGTGTAATTTATCCCATTTCTTCAATATTGCCATCACATCTGGGTATGTAAAGCTCAAACTCTTCGGATCCGATTTACAAGTCAAGCATGTTTGATCGGAGAAAATCCCTATATGCATTTTATTACACAATTTTTAATATATGTTACTTTTTTGTAACAGATATTACATCATTTTTTTAATAAAGTTATAGTAATTTGTGATTCAAAAACGAATTACGCATTGGTGAAATGGTACACATTTTTTCATTGAAACATTTTTAAATTATAAAATATCTAATATTATCATAAAAATGCATAACTTTTTTCTTGAATCACAAATTATTGCCATTCTATTAGAAAATTACATAATATTAAAAAATACTTAACATGTATAAAAAAAATAAAAATAAAAAATTACATAATAAGATGAATATAGCACACACCCTTAGATGTGTATACCAAAGGGATTCTCTTGTTAAGGGCAGCGTTGATACATTTTGTACTTCTCACTTTGTTGATGTAAGTTTTTTTGCATGTTTTTGCTTTTTTTCATCAATAAAGTTTCATTTTGCTAATCGAAAAAAAAAAAAAAAAGGGATTCTCTTGAGCTGATTTTCAAGATGATTGGAATCATATTTTTTTAAGAAACTGAATTTTGAGACAAAATTTGGATTTCTTTATTTGCTAGATTTTTACTATTTGCTTAGATTTGAATTTATCTATACTTTATTTATATAGTATAAAAGATCCTCTATCACTAATTGATAATTAGCTTTTAAGTTATTTACCTTCAATATGATAGCTTCAATTGACTCTTAATTTAAATCTTGGCCTTAAGTCTATTTTTCATCTTTCGTTCATTTTTTTATTACCGTCACATGGCATTCTTAGCATTGAAGTCTTTTCTCCTTTTTTTTTTTTTATTTTTTTTTATTTTTTTATTTTTTAATTTTTTAATTTTCTATGTGTATATGTAACCCTTGACCATCTTATACTAATAAAAAGAAAACCACTCCCTCAAAGAGGGCTATATTTCTCCCAAATTTATATTTAAATCTGAAAAAGCGTGAGGGACATGTATGGGGTCACTACAAGTCTAATTTCAATAATTCAAACCTTTCATTAGGTTTATTGGAACATTTTAACTTATTATTTTTATTGTATTTGTTTCTGAAAAAGTAGACGTATATGTTTTTCAAAAACAGATTATCTTTTTTTTTTAAAAAACAAATATAATAAAGTAAAAAATATTACGATTAACGAATCAATATAATTTTTTTATGAATAATACAAATTAAAAATATTACAAAATAAATCATTTAAGCATTAAAGTGAGACTCTAATAAATCACACGAACCTCAAATAGTCTCAAATTTACATTTGTGAAGGCAAACAAATCCCTTGGTAGTATTAACAGAGAGAGGACGTATAATTGATTATATTTTGGGTCGTATCAAAAGGTTAGAAGAATTGAAATCAAAGGAGAAGTCAACAAACACAAAAAATTTGATTTTGAAGTCATAAATGCTTTGTTACGCCTGACGAGAAGAAAGAAGATGGAAAATATAAGAAATGAACGAGCAAGAATGACTTCTTTTAGCATTTGTTTTCAAAAAAAATTTATTGGCTCCATTTTTTATGTAAAACATTTTTTCTTTTATGCTTCTTTTATGATTAAAGCATTGACGTTAGAGGTCGAAAATTAAAATTCGTGAAAAAAAAGTAGCTTAAATTGACTCTTTTGAAGCTTTCGCTTTCAAGTTTCCAACTATTCTAATAATTATTTATTCAAAAGTGATGATAGGCCCAATCAAGAAGGTAAGAGAGAATTTAGAGAGAAAATCTAGATCAATCAATATTTTTTATTTCTAAAATTGGTTACAAGTGATTATACCTATTCTAGATATAGATTACAATTTCACTCCACTCACATAATATCTTACATAAAAAAATAAAAAAATAAAAGTTTGTAAATATTGTTTCATGTTGTTATTGCTCTGAAAGTTGATTCCGAAAGTTAGGGAAGGGCTTCAAAAATGTTGACTAATGATAAACAAAGTTGAATTATAGGTTAAGTTGTTGTAAATAGTTTGAACTGTCTCAAACCGAAGGTGTAGCAAAAAGTTCAGATAATTTTACACTGCCGGAAAATTCACTTTTAGCGGCGTTTTTAAACGCCGCTAAAAGTACTAAAAGCGTCGCTAATTCTTTTTATGACGTTTAGTACCAAACGCCGATGACGCGGCAGTCGCTATAACTTTATGATGTTTGAAAAACGTCGTTATATTAGTATATGCGACATTTTTTAAAACGCCGCCAAATGTCCTACCTAACTGTACTATGACGTCACTATGACATTTAGCGACGTTTTTGAAAACGCCGTCATAGACATTTATACATTTTTAAAATCTAGCCGTTGGGTGGGATATAGTGACGTTTTTTAAATGCCGCCATAGCCTTTTTTTTAATTTTTTAATTTTGTTAATTTTACATGGTTGAACAAAAAAAATTACCTGTCAAACTAATAATTGATGTTTATTGAAATAATAAATAAACTAAGCTTGAAAACAAAATTAAAAATAAAAAACAATACATTGCATACCTAAGAATAGCAACAATTTAGACTTTAAATACATCAATTAAAATCAAAATGGTCAAGAAGTGTAACTTGCCAAAAAAATTAAAAAGGAATAAAAGCACACTAATATGGCTTATAATATTAAAAACATCTGAAATTAGATAATCATTTAGCTCTTCACTTGCATCATTCAGCAAAACATCAGCTACATCTTTTGTAACTTCTGATCTGCCTCTGTTCTTCCTTTTCACTTCGATGATTTTATGTACTAATTCAACCATTTTCTTCTTTGCCTGAAACAACCCATCTTCAAATTTATTATTAAAAATGTTAATTTCCACAAAAATATTTCCATCAAAACAAATGGGGCAAAGTTTACTCGAGACAGAACAAATGGGAAACTCTAAATGTATATGGCATACAATTATTATTATTTTTTTAATATTTAGGACATACTAAAGTGAACTGGGATTAAAATTTACACCTGCCACTCTCTTGGCAGAGGCAAAGTTAATAGGTGATTGTGTTTGACATGTGGTGAATGCCTCATTAAGTTTCTATGGAAAGTAGCATGGTTCATCCTTTTAGTATCAACAACAATTTGTCGCAATGAATCATTCTTTATGGATGCAGAAACAAATAGAGATGTTGGTTGTTTGGTTGATTTCAAATACTACTGAAGTTTGAAATCAATGTTATCTCAATAGCAGATCCTAGTTCAGTTAGCCATCATCTGCTTGATCTCAGTTATTATTTATCCAATTTATTAATTCAAGAGAAAATTGCAAACCTGTTGCGTAATTTGTGGAAACTCAGAGCAGAGAGTTTTTCTTCCATGATCATCAAATATCTTCTCCAAAGTAATGTCTTGAAGGGCGACCAAGGTTGTCTCAAGCATGTCAAGACCAGCCTGGTTAGCAAAGGTGAAAACTGGCAATGCCTGCATGTACAGTTAATTGTAAAGATAATGAGCTTGTAGAAGCAGCGTACTTAAAAGCTATCTAATTTTTGTATTTTAGGGGTCTAAACTAACTGGGATTTTTAACTGTGACATATCACCCTCTATTCTGTATTAACTGAGTTTTTTTTTGACAATCAATACAAGGGGAATAGGGGAAGCAAAGTTGCACTCGTGGCAGTAAGACTTAAACCCAAACATTACACCTACTAAGGGAGGGCCTCATCCATTAGGCCCCCCTTCGTCCTTAGCTTAACTGATTATTTAAACTCTGGCAAAATACAAATCTTTCAGCTTTTTGGAAGTCCAATTACCTTTTAAATTTGAAGTTGTGAATAATAAACAATTAAAAATAATAGCATAGGAAGACAATTCAAGACCCATGTCATAGAGAGACAGAGAGACAGAGCTGAAAATTTTAAGCCACATACCTTTAAAGAGCAGCACATAATAGCATCTGTGTGATGCCAAAGGGTTTTGAGGGTGGTTTCACTTCCTTCACTGCCAGACTTGAGAAGCTCTACTCCCAAATAACACCTGTCAAGAAAGAAAGAACACACCAAGGACCAGTGAGAGCAAAAAAATTTATTTTAAGCCCCCAAAAAGACCAATTGCTACACTTCGGGACAACGGAATTCAAAAACTAGATTTTTAAAACTCCTCTTGATTTGACCTATTAAATAGAGTATGCAAAGTTCAGAAATTTTGTGTTCATTGGCATCCATCTACGAACACACTATTACAATCTAATCCAATAATGCCACAAGGAAGATATAAAACTTCAAACATCAAAGTCATGCTCCACTGTACCTTCAAATGCAAATGCAAATTCAAATGCTATTGTCATCACAGATCTTGTACTGCCACCATTAGAAGTATAATCATTAGATGCTTTATTTCCAGCCGGTCCAATCTCGAGAGCAGAAGCAAGGTCAAGGGTACGATTTGGACTGGAAGCTTCCTACAAAATGTCCCAGTTTATCAAATAAATGGAAGTCCAAAGAAGAGTTTAAAGTAGAGAAAAAAGAGAAAGAATGATAGCCGAATACAACAACTATAACGTAATTCTAGATGCTGACCTTGCCAGAATCAAGAGGAATGATGCGAAAACCAGAAGGCAAAAGAGGTGCATCATCAGCAAAAGAGGCATCGATAGGAGCAAATATAAGTTCAGCACAGGTGCCAACAACATTCTCATCCATTCCGCTCCATAGCTGTTAGGAAAGTATAAACAATGACATTAAGCAAGAAGGTTAGGGCCATAAAAAGTAACGGATAAAAAAACGAATGAGGACTTTGTAAAAATGAAGTAGTAGTAACATTTAAAAATATCCCCATTACAAAAAAAAAAAATCTGTGAAGATATGAACCAAAACTTTAGGCTTGTTGGGGGGAACATGCCCACAGACCGTGATAATTCATGCATTAAATATATGACAAAAGATATGAAGAACCAAAACTTTAGGCTTGTTGGGGCAACATGCCTACAGACCGTGATAATTCAAGCATTAAATATATGACAAAGATATGAAGAACCAAAAATTACTTGCAAGAGAAACATGTCTCTAGGCATTATTGCATCTTCAGGACAATGTCCAACACCTTCCAGCTTAATGACCTCCAATAACTAATATCCATGAAATGAAATGTACAATCTATGTCAAAATTCCAAGTAAATATTCAAAATTTTGGAATAGATAATGAAGAAATCAAGATGAAATTACTTGCCTCTTCATGCTCAATAGTATGAGCCAGTGGCAGAATAACTTGACCTGAAAAGCTTCCAACTCTAGACCCTGGTAAGCTACAGGGACCAACTTTAACAGCTGCAGCTGAGTAAGCATCGATACTATTGTCTGCCCATTCTGACCTGTGCTCCCGCAAGAATCTAAGTAGTATTGCAGGGGGCACATTCTGAAATATAGGAAAAGTGTACAGCAAGATCAGATATAAGCTCGAAATGAGAACATGAATACAGAGAACTAGTAGAAAAGGATTGGGCAAGACTTGCGTTAATAGACCTATATACAACAATTATCTTAATTTACTTCACTTGCTAATATGTGAAATTTCATAACAATTTCTCTCCAGAACAAAGTGGAAAGCATTTGTTATCTTGGGATGCTTAATTTAACAATCTATTAATGGGCAAATTAATTATAGAACGAGCACTCTACATTTTTTTTAGAACAGCACATTTAGAACATCCACAGCTCAGCAATCGCGATACCACGAAGGCCGATCCTTAAGGATTTCTGCAACCTGGAAGTAGCGAAGCATAACCGATAAATGCTTCACATAAACTCCACAACTACTACAAAAAAGAAGAAAGAAGGGGGAGACTATCGTACCCTTGTAGGCTCTAAACCCACCAGGCCGCAAGCACGTGCTGCCACACCAGTGCAACAATGAGAAATAGCAACGATTCCAATGGAATCCGAACCAGGCTAAGCATAAAAGAAAGCAGTTAGTTCAGAAAGAGACCGATCATCAACTCGGTTTTTAACATAACAAATGCATTATTAACCCTGTCAATACCATGAGTAAATACTATCCTAGTGTATAATGCTTAACCAAAAATTGAGAAATGACAGAAACTATCCAGTATACACATTTTGTGTGTCCTGAAATGAAACAAATACTATAATTAATCGGATCATGTCCCGCATGTATCATAACATTCAGTAAACTTGTATAATTCATTAGTTTAACAGCCGCATAAATTATGTCACCATAAGCACAGCACAACACAGTTTGATAAGAAGCAATACATCGACACTAACACTACATAGCCACTCATACGTAATAGCATAGCTTGCTACAAAAAGCTTAACAAGCCATCTGTCATCGCATGAACAAAAGAAAAAACTAGCAAAATAAATTTCAAGCCCACTAAAAGAAAAGATCACACATTTCTGAAGTGTACCAGCAGGTTCTACAGACATCTACTGCAATTAAATAGACAACACCTTTTGAACACTAGTTACCTCACTTAAGGTCTTAACAGATATATTTATTTACATACATCAAAGATCAAAGATTGGCTTTTGAACACTAGTTACCTCAATTACATAGACAACACCTTTTGAACACTAGTTACCTCACTTAAGGTCTTAACAGATATATTTATTTACATGACAATACAGGGATGATTGGCTTGAAACATCAAAGATCCCCCAATCCTTTGTTTCACAAATGACTTGTAATGAGCTTCAATGGAAATAATGTGCAGCAATGCCCATCTAAATGTGCATTAACTTACATACATCACACTAAATCAAGTCAAAGTAATATGATGAACATACAGAACTATTGAGAGATTTGCTTATACTTAGAAGTCCTGAAGGATTAAAAGCAGGAAATATTAGCTACTATAATGCATGTAAAACTTATCAGCATTTTTCTAGCTAATTAAAATAGTAGAAGATTGCCAATACAAATGCAATTAAAATGAGTGAAAACACACAGCATGCCTTATAGTAAAATGTAATTAAAATATTACTGTCTCCCAAGGAATTCTTTGGATATCTTTACCTCTCCTAGCTTGAGCAACAGAAGTATCTGCCATTTCATTATTCTAAATAGGTACCAAACAGTTAGTATTTCATATATCCTGAGCTTGATGGGAAAAAACATCTAAAAGTTACTTGAAAAAAAGAGAGAAAAAACATGCCAATAGGAGAGAAATAAACAAAGAAAAGTGTTAAGACTTGCAGTTAGATAGCATATCATGACAACAAACTATGGTTCAAACTTTATAAAGTTTATATCACAAACCAAGTAGTCATATTCATCATCAAAACGGAATTTGAATATTATTATTCTAATTATGGGTTTATATGGACTTATATGGACTCTGTCAGTACACAAACACGGAGAAGAAGCGATTGCCGATGAAAATCAACAATATAAATAGAACCAGCGTGAGTGCCAAGAGAGAAATCGATACCTCGCTGGTGTAGATGGTGGTGGCGGTGGTGCTTCGAAATCGAGAGAGAGACATCGAAATCGCTCTGAGATGAAATCAAAGATGAATCTCTGAGAGAGAGATCTAAAGTGAGAATCGAAATCACAGATCGATCTGAATCGAAATCGTGGTGGCGGTGCAGACCGATATGAAATCGATGAATCTGTGAGATTTGAATCGGTGAATCTGTGAAATCGATGAACTGGTGAATCTCACTACCTCGCGTGTGAAGATGGTGGTGGCGGTGGAGCTTCGAAATCGGTGAATCTGTGAGATTTGAAGGTGAGATTCAAAATAAGGGTTTAGAGATGATTGAGAGTGAGGCGAGGTGAGAATTCAATGTTGGTTTATGTCCGAAGGGCTGAGGGTTTACAAAAGGCTTATATTCTCAGATTCCAAATAGCGCGCGTGGGGTATCGCATTTGGAGGCGTTTTTAAACGCCTTTTATTATAAAACGGTGTCATTTTAGTTATAGAAATATACGACGTTTTTAAAACGCCGTTAAATATTAACAAAAATGACATTTTAAAAAGCGTCGTTAAAAAAACGCCGCAAAAACCCTTATTTCCTGTAGTGTTACTTTTCTTAGCTATCTAATTTTGTTCCATTCTAGGATGAGAATGGTTTTTTTTTTTCATTTTTTTTTTAAACATAGAGAAATTTAGCCAAAACTCTTCCATTGAACTTTTATTTGGTGGAAATGAAAGCCCAATTTTTTTGTTTCATAAACCCCTTAAGGATGAAATACATAATTGAAAAAGAACAAAATAAAATATATATATATATACAGTGGCGGAGCCAGAAATTTAATATAGGGGGACACCCATTAATTACAATCTCAAATTTTTTCTTCCCCAATCAATAACAATAACATAATAATAATTTTTCGAACAAATGTTAAACATTAAAAATTAATATTCATTACAAAAAGTTTTAAATTTTAAACTTTTACAATTGACTTCGACGAGTTTTCATCTTTTGAAATCTTTCCATAATAGTATCATTGTCAATGCCATCAAAAATATCTCTCTCAATGTAGACAATCAAGCTATCATTCATCCATTCATCACCTATTCGGTTCCGCAACCAATTCTTCACAATATTCATAGCTGAAAATACCCTCTCAACAGTAGCAGTTGCAACAGGTAAGATTAATACTAAGTCAAGATCAAATACACCAATGGATGTACTTTGCCTCTTCCAATCTCTACCATTTTCTTAGCAAGATCGGCAATTTCATTCAACATTGAGAACTTACTACCGGATAGCATGTCGATAATATATGTATCAAGTTGGTCATTAAGTCCCATGAGCACCATTGAAGAAAATTCTTTGGGATAAAATTCAACAAGATGAATTAACTTTTTCCTGTCAAAACCAGAGAAAGAGTTAGATGGATTCAAAAATGCCACACAAAGTAACAACTCAGTGTTCGACTCAGTGAAACGAGCATTTAGTTCTTGAATTTGCATATCCAAAACAGTGTAGAATAACTCAGCGCGATAGTAATGTAAGTTTGTAATTTCTTGAACATTACACATTTTTCTCTCTCGAGCTACAAACATATCTTCAATTTGGGGAACATCAATTTCATGTTTTTCACAAAAAGATAAAATATCATCAAGTAAAGATGTCCACCCACTCTCCATCATCTTTTGGAGTCGTACTTTAGAAATTTGAACTAAATTCATGGCATTAACAATACCTTGATCTTTCTTTTAGCTTGCGATAACTCACTTGTAATAGCCAATATCGTTTTCATCAAATGAAGGTTGAATACAAACTCAAACGATTGAATTGAGTCCAACAATATACTTGCTTCTACTCGTTGTTCTGAATTTGAACGATCCTCCAAAATCATTTCAAGCACATCAATCACTGTTGAAAACATACTAGTCAAGCTGACTAAAGTACCATAGTATGAACCCCAACGTGTATCACCAGCATGTTTAAGATTAGTTTCTTGATTTAAGCCTTGCCCACTAGATAGCTCTCCAGTATTAAGTGTCTCAGCAACTTTTGCAGCTTGCTTCTCCCTAACAATATCTCGGCGTTTACATGATGCTCCAACAACATTCACCACATTAGAAACCAAAATGAAAAGTAAAGCAATTTGATTATGATTCTTTGCCACGGCTACAAGTACCAATTACAATTGATGAGCAAAACAATGAACACAATATGCACAAGGATTCTCTTTCAGTATAAGTGTTTTAAAGACCACTGAACTCACCTTGTATATTACTAGCCCTATCATATCCTTGACCTCGCAATCTGAAAATAGTTAATCCAAGTTTGGAGAATAAATTTTCCATAGCTTATTTAAGCGAGAGAGTGTTCGTATTAGCAACATACTCAATACCCAAAAAGCGCTCAATCACTTGGCCTTTTTTGTCAACATATCATATTACAACTGCCATTTGCTCCTTGATTGATATGTCACGGGCTTCATCAATCAAAATAGAAAAAAGTGCATCACCAAGATCTCTAATAATCACATTGATAGAATACTATATTTTTGTAAATAATTACATTGATTGGATATAAATAGCTATTTGATCGGATTAGATTTTTGTCAACCATTTATTTTTTATCATTTATTTTTTTATACAAAAATAATCTAATCAAATAACTATTGGTATCCGATCAACGTGATTTTTTAAAGTATTATACTTGACGAGTTTTACATATTAAATTGTTTAAATTATCAAATCGAAATCCAAAAATAAGTCTACAAATTAGATTAAACGGTTCAATTTTAATTTCGAACTGAGGAGAAGTTAGACCCTTTTTATATTGTGCTATTTTGGAAAGCTGGTAAAAAGTCAGTTTCTAATTTTTTACCATTTTGGGTTAGATCACATCTCACATAACTTACCAAAAAAAAAACAAAATAAGTTAAAAAAGTCAAAAAATTAATTTTTTACCAACTTCTCAAAGGGTCTGGCTTTGGTCCAGTCTGCCATCGGACTGGGCCTTGCTGTTGGGCCCGTGGCGGAGCCAGAAATTTGATATAGGGGGGCACCCATTAATTATGATTTCAAAATTTTTCTTTCCCAATCAATAACAATAATATAATAATAATTTTTCGAACTAATGTTAAACATTAAAAATTAATATTCATTACAAAAAGTTTTAAATTTTAAACTTTTACAATTGACCCCGACGAGTTTTCATCTTTTGAAATCTTTCCATAATTGTATCATTGTCAATGCCATCAAAAATACCTCTCTCAATGTAGACAATCAAGCTATCATTCATCCATTCATCACCTGTTCGGTTCCGCAACCAATTCTTCACAATATTCATAGCTGAAAATACCCTCTCAACAGTAGCAGTTGCAACAGGTAAGATTAATGCTAAGTCAAGATCAAATACACCAATGGATATACTTTGTCTCTTCCAATCTCTACCATTTTCTTAGCAAGATCAGCAATTTCATTCAACATTGAGAACTCACTACTGGATAGCATGTCAATAATATATGTGTCAAGTTGATCATTAAGTACCATGAGCACCATTGAAGAAAATTCTTTGGGATAAAATTCAACAAGATGAATTAACTTTTTCCTGTCAAAACTAGAGAAAGAGTTAGATGGATTCAAACATGCCACACAAAGTAACAACTCAGTGTTCGACTCAGTGAAACGAACATTTAGTTCTTGAATTTGCATATCCAAAACAGTGTAGAATAACTCAGCGCGATAGTAATGTAAGTTTGTAATTTCTTGAGCATTACACTTTTTTTCTCTCTCGAGCTACAAACATATCTTCAATTTGGGGAACATCAATTTCATGCTTTTCAAAAAAAGGCAAAATATCATCAAGTAAAGATGTCCATCCACTCTCCATCATCTTTTGGAGTCGTACTTTAGAAATTTGAACTAAATTCATGGCATTAACAATATCTTGATCTTTCTTTTGTAGTGCTTGCGATAACTCACTTGTAATAGCCAATATCGTTTTCATCAAATGAAGGTTGAATACAAACTCAAACGATTGAATTGAGTCCAACAATATATTTGCTTCTGCTCGTTGTTCTGAATTTGAATCATCTTCCGAAATCATTTCAAGCACATCAATCACTGTTGAAAACATACTAGCCAAACTGACTAAAGTACCATAGTATGAACCCCAACGTGTATCACCAGCACGTTTAAGATTAGTTTCTTGATTTAAGCATTGCCCACTAGATAGCTCTCCAGTATTAAGTGCCTCAGCAGCTTTTGCAGCTTGCTTCTTCCTAACAATATCTCGGCGTTTACATGATGCTCCAATAACATTCACCACATTAGAAACCAAAGTGAAAAGTAAAGCAATTTGATTATGATTCTTTGCCACAGCTACAAGTGCCAATTGAAATTGATGAGCAAAACAATGAACATAATATGGACAAGATTCTCTTTCAGTATAAGTGTTTTAAGACCACTGAACTCACCTTGTATATTACTAACCCTATCATATCCTTGACCCCACAATCTGAAAATACTCAATCCAAGTTTGGAGAATAAATTTTCTATAGCTTGTTTAAGCGAGAGAGCATTCGTATTAGCAACATACTCAATACCCAAAAAGCGCTCAATCACTTGGTCTTTTTTGTCAACATATCGTATTACAACTGCCATTTGTTCCTTGATTGATATGTCACGGGCTTCATCAAAATAAGAATTCATACCAAAATCTCAAACCCCCCACAAATCAAAATCTTCAATTTTAATACAAATCAAAAAATATAAATTAGCACAAATTACAACAAATCAAAATTTTTAATTTTAGCACAAATCATAACAAATTAAAATCCCTAATTTAAATATTAATCACTGCAAATTAATATTTTTAATTTTAGCACAAACAACAACAAGCTAAAATCCCTAATTTTAATATAAATCACCACCAATTAAGATTCATAATTTTAGGGTATCAAAATCTCTTATTTTAATATAAATAATAACAAATAAAAAAATTTACAAATTAAAACTTAACAAATAATTATAAATTAATACTCATAATTTTTATTTAAAAGTTAAAAAAATAATAAAGTTACATGTAAACAATGAAGAGAAGATACCAATGTTGTAGTGTGGTCCCAAATCTGTGTTTTGTGATCCTAATTTGGTGAATCGCGAGTCGGTAAATTGCAAAAGAGCAAAGAGAGACAAAGAAGACAAAGAAAATATGAAGATACTTCACAAGTGCTGTGAATAAATAAAAAAATAAAAAATTTCATACACTTATAGAGTTTTAGAGTTTTAACCTTATTGTAATTGGAGTTGTGTGTACTCATCTAAAAAAAAATTATGTATCAATATTTAATTGGGATTAAGATTCATAAAAAAAATAAAATAAATAAAAATACAAACGTGGCGTCTAGTGTGTGGTGTGTGGTGTGTGGGTGAGAGTGGTCAGTGGGTTTTAGTGTGTTTGAAAGTAAAGGCGGACCACACTTAAAAAAAAAATAAAATAAAATAAAATAAAAATAAAAAATTTGCAAAAGTCAGGGGGGCACGTGACCCCCCTGAGCCCAAGCTCCCACCGCCCCTGTATCTATATTATATATTAAGTAAAATGAGATTTTTAACTCCAAATCTTGTGGGAGTTCTAATCTTCCAATCTAATTTTTCTGATTTTTTGATTTTTTTTTTTTAAAAAAACCTTAGTATTTATTAACTTATCCCAACTCCCAAGTCCTACCCTCATAATAACACTTTAATGTATTAAAAACAAGCATAAAAAAAATTCTTTGAAATCCAACACATATAAATTTCTTGAAAAGTCCCAACACAGATGATTATTATCCCTCATAATAACACTTTAATACATTAAGAACAAGTATAAAAAAAATTCTAGAAAAGTCCAACACATATGATTATTATCAAAATATTAAACTTTAATATAATATAAAAAAAGAAAAAAATAAGGCATTTAAAGAAAAAAGACATTTAAAAATCGTAATTCACATATATAAAAAAAAAAATTTGAAAAGTCCAACACATATGATTATTATCAAAATATTAAACTTTAATATAATATAATAATAAAAAGACATTTAATTCCTTGAAAAGTCCAGCACATATGATTATTATCAAAATATTAAACTTTAATATAATGTACAAAATGAATATAAAAAAGGAAAAAAAGAAGGCATTTAAAAAAAAAAAGACATTTAAAAATCGTAATTCACATATATAGATAATTGTAAACACAATCTGTGCATAGCACGAGTGATATGTTAGTACTATATATTAAGCAAAATGGGGTTTTTAGACCCCAAGGCCTGTGGGAGCTTCAATATCCCAATCTGAATTTTTAAAATTTTTTATTTAAAAAAAAAAACTCAACATTTGTTAATTTGGTCAAAATTCTCTGATCAGCATTTATTAACTTTTTTCAATCCACATGTCTTTCCACATGCTTGTATTTATTAATTTGGTCAAAAACTGCCGATCAGAATTTAAAATCACCTCATACAAATAATTATAGATACAACCCGTGTATAATTACTGCAGTACCCTTTTCAACTTCTCTCATACACTATGGTTAGTGATAAAATTGTTAAATTATTTTTATAAAAAGTCTTAAAAATACCATTTGTTTTTGTCTAATTTCTTAATAGATGCTATCAATTAGATTAGAAAAATTTAACCAAAATCCCTCCACCCTCCATTAGACCCTTATTTGATGAAAAGGACAATCTAATTTATTTTGTTTAATAATTCCCCTACGGAGAAAACACATAATTGAGTAAGGGCAAATAAAATATTTTTTTTTTAATATTTTTTTTCCTTGGACAATATTATCAAACATGTTACTGTTACTGTTTATATCAATTTTGACGGTAATAATTTTTATTTTTATTTATTTATTTATTATTATTTTTTAAAGAATTTCATAATCAAATGGATCTTATTATTTAATAGATCTTAATGAGAGAATTTTAAAAATACTAATTTTATTAAAAACAGACATCTATATCAAAAATTATTGTATTTGAAAATTTAATATTTTGGTAATAGTGATATATGTTAAATTTTTTTAAAAAAACTTTTTATACTTATTTTTAATGTATTAAAATTTTATTATAAGGGAGTTTTTATCAAATCTTCTTTTACTTAATGACAAAGTTTGATATATATATATATATATAACTAAAAATCATGCCTCGTAATTGATTTAGATTAATTTTTAGTTGACTACTACTCATGTGTCTTATTGGAGGATCAATGAAAGACACCCTCTTCTAACATTTTATTCTATTTTAGGATGACAACGTGTTTTCTATTTTTATTACTAAATGACAAAGTTTGATATACATAACCAAAAATCTTAAGTCATAATTAGTTTAGACTAATTTAGTTGACTACTACTGCTACTCATGTATCTTATTTGGAAATCAGAGAAAGATAATCTTTTATCAGCCTATGGTGGTGGGCGGCGTACTTTTTATTGAGTTTAAGCCTGGTTTGGAATCCTTAAAATAATTTAAAAAATTAAAAAATTATTGAAAATATTAAAAGATTTTCACGATTCATCAAAAAAATATTAAAAAATTAATTTTACGCAAAATTAATTTTCAAACAGCTTTGACGTCCCACAGGCAGCTGAGTTTTTGGAAAAATTACACTGATTTAGGTGCACAATAACACTATGCTATTCGGCCCGTGGGGGCCATTACGGGTCTCATTTTAATAATTTGAACAGTTCAATATGTAGAATACGTTGAATACTATATACTTACAAAAAATCACGTTGATCGGATATCGGCAACTAGATGATCAAATCAGTGTTGTTCGGCTCGTGGAGGCCGAACAGCACTGATTTTCAAACAGCTTTGACGTCCCACAGGCAGCTGAGTTTTTGGAAAAATTGCACTGATTTAGGTGCACAATAACACTGTGTTGTTCGGCCCATGGGGGCCATTACGGGTCCCATTTTAATAATCTGAACCGTTCAATATGTAGAACTCGTTGAATACTATATACTTATAAAAAATCACGTTGATCAGATATCGGCAACTATATGATCAATCAGTTAAAATTTATAAAATGGATGGTGTTATAGTTAACGGTTGAAAAAAACTAATCTGATTAGATAGCTATCAATATCCGATCAACGTGATTTTTTACAAGCATATAGTACTCGACGAGTTCTACACATCGAACAGTTTTGATTAGCAAAACGGTACCCGTGGTAGGCCTTCATGGGCCAAACAACACCTTCAATTCACTGTCCAAAAAGTAGGGAACCATCTCCCCTCTACTCTGCACATGCTGTCCTAGCCTATTTCATCACAATTTCTCCTATACACTAATTTATACAATTTTTAATACACATCTTTTCGTAAAAAGTCAAAAAGTTATCCCAAGCAATCATATTTTTTTCCTTAACTTTTTAGTCTAAAAAGTCAAAAAATACACTTATTTAGGACATCCTAAAAAACCCCTAGCATATTATTCACACTGACTTACTTTATTGATATAAAATTGCCGCTTAATTTTTATAAAAGAAATTAATGCCTAGTTTATCAAAACCAAGAATATTTTAGGTTTAGGAGCTTAGGTACAAAAGGGGAAAACCATTTACATGGAAGCACCCCCTTTTATCTAATCCGAAGATTAGATTCTAGTCACTCTCTATTTTATTATTTTAATAGTTAATTGTTAACAAAAATTTTTAAATAAAATTTTAGACCTAAAATTTTTAACTAACCCAAACTACGTGATTTAAAGAAAAGTGAATATCGCATACTTTAAATTAAATAAATAAAGTCATATTTACATAAAAAATGATTTTTCAAAGAAAAGTGAGTTTTGATAACTCGTTGCTTTAAACATAACCTAAGCTGCACAATATTGAAGAAAACATACAAAATACCCAATTTTGTACACAAAGAGCATAGAAACTTGTATTATTTAAAAGATAATACAAATAGTACACATATACCAAGGAGGACAAAGACATTTATCTAGATGCCCACTTTCACATCTTACATGCATGCCTAAAATAAATTTAGCCTAAATGCGACTAATACATGCAAGAAATAAACCTAGGCTCGATTTGAAGCTACTAAATGATGAATATGCATAAGAAGACCAAATAATACATAATGAATATATATATATATATAAATGATATTAGCTATTTACATGATGATTCAAACTGGGCTTACACACATGAGTTCTAGATAATTAAATGAGCCTAGTCATGCTGTTCTAGTGTACATAAAGAAAGCATGCGAAATAAAGTAAGAAAATGAATAAGATAAATAAGCTACATAATGCTATGATAGACTAACATCGTAGCATGCTTGAATATCGAAGACAAACAGAGAATAGGTACTGGAATAGACAAAAATATAGTAGTTTACTTGCTGATTTTGAGAAATCGAAGAGCGAATATGAAAGAGAGTAAAGAAACTCAAGTTTCTTGCTTGCAAACCTCCCTCAAACTTTGGTACCAAGTTAGGGTTGATGTGTTTCTGTGACAACCTCATTCTGTGTTATTCTTTTAATTCCTTAATTATGCATGTGCTTATGTGTTAGATGTGAATTTGAGTGACTATTATGTTATTAATGTGATTTTGACTACATATCTATTGATTGTAGGAAGATCTGTTGTGATTTTTATT